GTGTGTGTGTGTGTGTACGTGAGTGTGTGTGTGTACGTGATGTGTGTGTGTGTGTGTGTGTGTGTTGTGTGTGTGTGTACGTGAGTGTGTGTGTGTACGTGAGTGTGTGAGTGTGTGTGTGTGTTGTGTGTGTGTGTGTGTGTGTGTGTGTGTGTGTGTCAGTGTTGTAGTCGAGTCCGCACCCGCCCCGAGTCCGAGTCCGAGTCCGAGTCCGAGTCTGCACCCCGAGTCCGAGTCGAGTCCGAGTCGTCGTCCGAGTCCGAGTCCGAGTCCGAGTCCGAGTCCAGTTTTGATAAAAAAGGAAAAAATCGGAAAAAGGGAAAAAATCGGGAAAAAGGGGAAAAAAGGGGAAAAATCGGAAAAAGGGAAAAAAGGGAAAAAGGGTAAAAATCGCAACAGTGCATTAATTTGTAGACATTCGAAAGCGTATAATCAGCCGAAAAGACAGAGACACGAGTCATACGAAACGTGTCAAAGTAACGGATCCATTTGTGTTTTACGAGAATGACACGCCTTGTTGAACCAAATGAGAGAGTGCTAGTACTTTCGAAGTGGTAGAATAAGAGAATGAAGTGGTAGAAAAAGCGCAAAGGGACGAAGCGACAGCTATAGAGAAGGTTGATATCAATCGTTTAATACGAGAAGAGTACCGGTTACAATCAAACATTGTGCGTTTAACAAACAGTGGCTAAGTAGAACATGTTATAAAGTTACATACGTTGCATAATTATACGATGCATAGACAAGCAGCACACAAATACAAAACGCGTACAATAGTTTACATATCTATACTATAAAAGGGAACAGCCCATTTTTTGTTAGCTATGTTCTCTTAATCTGCTCGCATGATTTCAAATTGCTTGACTGTAAACGATGCATTACTACTCGTAGAGTAATATGGGCGCACTTTTTCAACGATGAAAACACGATAAAGTTGAATTTCAAGCCGTTTTATTTAACACTGGTGTACCGATATCATACCGGTATATCGATCGACGACACTACCAATGTAGTACGTGTTGTTTACAGCTTGCGCTGTGGCGCTGGGATGCAGTGGCAGCACGCTTGCTCACCACATCTTCACGTTCGGTTCAGTCGGGTTTCGGTTTCGGTTTCCGTTTCGCTAACGGTGTAGCTCAGTTCATATACCTTTATCTCCTGCACTTTAAGGTAAGTTTTGCGAAATATCAATATGCCTGTTTCTTCAATAACAATCATAGTTCATTTTGTTTCTGTCCTAGAACAGATTAATTTCATCTAACAATTGCATGCATGTGCATACTGTTCAAGTAATAATGTATGCTGTTCAGAATTGAGAATTGCCACATCACATGCAGTGGAAAATCACACTCAATTGATTTTTTATTACACATTGACATTCCCAGTAGACTTCGACAAACAACAGCAGTGTTAAATGACTTAAGGTAACCGTTTTTAACATAAATAAGGTAAGTCATGATAACAATAGTCAATAAGTCATGATAACAATAGATAACATAGCAATATAATAATTTTGTACGTCCGTATAATAATTTTGTACTGAAATATCAGTATGCCCGTTTCTTGAATAACAATCATAGTTCGTAAACCTACACAAACACAGTGACCATGTTTGCCCAGTCAATAAATTGCATTATTCCTGCCGATTGTCACCAATTCCTGCATCAATTATGTATTGTTGGCAAAACATGTTTAGAAGCACTCAACCAGCTCATATATTTGCACATAAAACGATACAAATGTTATGATTTATGCCATTTTGTTTCTGTCATAGAATAGATTAATTCCATCCAACAATTGCATGCATGTGCATACAGTACTGTTCAAGTAATAATGTATGCTGTTTAGAATCGCCACATATCATGCAGTCAAAAATTACAGTCAATTCATTTTTAGCTCACCTTGACATCGTCAAGCTGAGCTATTGCCATGGGTCGTCGTCCGTTGTACAACCGTCCGTCCGTGCGTCCGTCAACATTTCGCTACGGTCAACGATAACTCAGGAACCGTTTTATCCACATGTTTCAAATTGGGTATAGTTCTTACTGCTATGCTCCCATATTAAACGTCCTTTTTTGGAGCACGCCAGTCGACGTACTTTCGAGCCACGGCAATTTTTTGCCAAAAATGGGAATTCCCATTAGTCAGTTCAGGTTCAACAGATTTTGCTCATTTTTGGTATGTGAATGAATAAGGGCTAAGGGTTTTGATATTTAAAAAAAAATTCTCCAAATTAGGTAGGTTTATGCAATTTATGCAAAAAAAGCGTATCTTCTCAATCTTACACGTTACACATTGGAGCTCCGTTTTTAGGCCGTGCCTAAATCTGAATATAAAAAACGTTAAATGGCGATCATTTAGGTGTAATGCCATCACTCGCCCTCATCTCACACTTTCACATTTCAAACATTTATTTTCACATAAAAAATTACACATATAATTATCAAGAGTATATAATCGGAGTTCTCTCATATATACTCTTCGTTTCTATAATGTACGTCGATCGTTGCTCAATTAAATCTGACTTCTTCTCACTCACTCATTTCTGTCATTTTTTGTGGTCAGCTACAGTGTCATTGACACTTTCATTTATTACACATTGACATTCCCAGTAGACTTCGACAAACAAGAGGAGTGTTAATGGACTAGGACGCTCATAAATAAGGTAAGTCATAATAACAATAGTGAATAAGTCATGATAACAATACATAACATAGGAATATAATAATTTTGTACGCCCATTAACCAAAATATCAATATGCCTGTTTCTTCAATAACAATCATAGTTCGTAAGCGGCCTACACAAACACAGTGACCATGTTTGCCCAGTCAATATATGCCATTATTCCTGCCGATTAATTGTTACAAATTCCTGCATCAATTATGTATTGTTGCCAGCACATGTTTAGAAGCACTCAACCACATCATATATTTCGACATAAAACGATACAAATATTATGATTTATGCCATTTTCTTTCTGTCCTAGAATAGATTAATTTCATCCAACAATTGCATGCATGTGCGCGCATACTCTAAGTAATAATGTATGCTGTTCACAATTGAGAATTGCCACATCACATGCAGTCAAAAATCACAATCAATTGATTTTTTATTACACTTTGACATTCCCAGTAGACTTCGACAAACAAGAGGAGTGTTCACTAGGAGGCTCATAAATAAGGTACGTCATGATAACAATAGTCATGATAACAATTAAGATAGGAATATAATAATTTTGTACGCCCATTAACGCATCACCATTTTCAATAAGCCGCTTACCATCATTTTACGCCAATGCACGAAAGACCATGTCCAATAAGGCACGTTCCATCATTTTTTAATCGACAACACATTACATCAACTGATGACAAATTATAATAATTCAATGCACGCATGTCATCATAAATAAACACTTCTGTACTGCCAGTGCATCATTCAGCGTACAAATCTATGTTTACGTCATTCTTTTTGCAGATGGCGGATGACCAAATGCCGCCTCACTGCCGTGCCACTACAATTTTCCAGGAAATCAACAAGCTTCAGAACGAATTCAACCAGGGAATCACACAATTGCAGGTACAGGCCTGGAAGGGGCATGTCACGAAACTAGACTTTCATTCCCTGGGGGTGAATGTCAATAAAACCTTGAATGACATCATAAAACACTCTGATGTCCTTAGAAAGCACCTGGTAGAAGACTTCAAGACATCGAATAAAAGAAGACCAACTGCAGCCCTGTCTTCGCTAACACCAAAACGATCAGCTATAGTACCGATGTCCAACTCCTGTCCCATACCCACTACGTTTGCTGTATCTCTTACGTCATCAGCATCGCTACCTCCAATCGAGCCAGTCATAAAAATAGAGAGGGACCCAGATGACAACAAAGAAAAACCACCGACTCTGAGGAATACAGCAGCACTTATCTGGGATGACGACTTAGATGACTCCATCCTAAGTCAAATATCTGAAGACCTCCTCATGTCAACCCAGCAAAGTAACGAGAAGCACCAACAGCAAGATGACAACCGACCAGACCAAAATAAAGACGACCATACCAACTTTGAAGGGAAACCCGACCAAAATAAAAAAGATATCATACCAAGCACGAAGCAAATGACAATCAACCACAATAGAAACAACGACATGTAGGCCCTACATGTACAAACCACTGCAATTTCCTCACCATGACTCAACTGAGATTACTAAATCGCTCATAATTGCGATACTATACCGCATTTAGTCTGTTAATGTTAACATTCTGCAATTCACTGCCACGTGTGTAAGGACTTCTGTCCCAACAGACAGTCATTATCAACGGCTCACCAGAAAGCTCTTGAAATTATTTACTTAAAAATTCCTTTTAAAGTCAAAAACACCAAAACTATCATTCAATGTGTTCATTTTCTAGAACTTTAAACCCCGATACATATTTTGATGGAAAAATGATAAAAAAAATATTGTTTAGGAAGACTAATTTCTATTTCTCGACTTTATTTATGATCTTGGTCTAAAATAAATCAATTTTATATTCTTTTTACAACTGCTAATAACAAAATTTCAGTCGGCACTTCTTCACAGAAGGGTCTGTCGGATAACCGTCAACTCAATTTGTTTATATTTTATGCCTTAAGTCTCCACGGGCATTTCAATACTCCTCACAGCTCATTCTCATTCATGTCAATATATCCACATTCTCTTGATGTACAGTTCTCATGCAAAATAAACATTGTTTTCTTACAATAACCACTTTTTACTTTTCTCTTGCCTACCTACAGCCATGGTGAAGCGCAAAACATCCCTCAACAAGACTACCCGCACAGCAGCACACATGACAGCTAAAAGACAACGACCAAGTGTTGACGTCGCACATCAACAGCCACAACACCCCGAGGCATATGGTTATGTCGAAGAACATTTTACTCCACAAACCTGTATAGGACCTATGAACAAGATCTGCCAGCACTGTCAAGCTGCTACATTCACCAATGAACCTCCTGGATTCTGCTGCTGCAACGGGAAAATTAAGCTCCCATGTTATCCACAGCCACCACCTTATCTTTCGTCGCTACTAAATGACGATGAACATTTTCTCTGCAATATCAGGACATACAACTGTGCATTCCAAATGACCAGCTTTGCCTGCACAACAAGGCAACTATCAGGCTGGAACCCTACATTTACAGTCCAAAGGCAGGTTTTCCACAACATTGGTTCCATGTACCCTCAACCAAACCGCCCACCTCAGTTCCTTCAAATTTACTTCATTGACAACAAAGTAGATGAAGTGAACACAAGGCTATCAATTGCAAATCAGCTAAAACCTGAAATAGTTGCAAATCTACGAGACATGCTCCATGAACACAATCAATATGTCAAAGCTTTCAAAACAGCTGCAGATACCTTGCACAACATCAATGCTCCTGACTTAACTGTTGTCATACATGAGGATAAACCACCAAGCAATGAACATGCGCGACGATTCAACATACCAGTAGCCAACGAAGTTGCAATTCTCATGCCCAATGAGCCCACCGCCAGCAGGGATATAGTCATACACCAACGTGATGGTACACTCAAACACATATCAGAACTTCATCATGCTTATGATCTATTACAGGACCCACTGCTCTTTCCTTATGCCACCCATGGCTACAATATCTACATGAAATCTGCTCAAGGAAAGAAAGTTACTCAAATGCAATATTATTCGTATCACATCATGTGCCGCAAATCAAATCGCATCCTACAAGGTAGACGCCTGTTTCAACAATTCATCGTTGACATTGTACTGTAAAGTTGAGAGTGAGCGTCTCCACTTCTTACGCCGTGAACAGAAAACACTGCGAGCTGATAACTATTCAAATCTCCAAGACAGTCTGCTCACAGCAGATTCCAATCCAGCAAGCCTCGGGCAGAGGGTTGTACTTCCAGCCAGATTCACCGGAGGACCCAGGTATATGCATCAGAAGCAACAAGACGCCATCACATATGTTCGAGAATTTGGGCGACCTGACCTCTTCATTACCACAACCACGAACCCCAAATGGCACGAGATTATAGACAACCTACTTCCACACCAAACTGCTCCAGATCGCCCGGATATCGTCGTGCGAGTGTTCAATCAAAAGTTACGCAAACTCATGCACATGCTTAAAAATGGCTGCTTCGGGGATGTTCAGGCATGGCTTTACTCTGTTGAATTTCAGAAGAGAGGCCTTCCTCATGCCCACATCCTTATATGGTTAAACCCACAGTCAAAGGTCACTCCACAAGACATTGACCTCATCATTTCAGCAGAAATCCCATCTCCAACAGATACACCAGTCCTTCATGAATTAGTCAAGTCCCACATGATCCATGGCCCATGTGGTCCCATCAACAGAAACAGCCCTTGCATGAAGAACAATCAGTGCACAAAGTCATTTCCCAAACACTTCATTGACACCACAATGACAGGGCACGACGGCTACCCAAACTATCGCAGACGCATGGAAGAAGATGGCGGTCACACCATTAGCTTAAAGAAGAATGTCAACCGCACCATGCAACACATCATCATCAGCAACCAGTGGGTGGTGCTATACAACCCATTCCTCCTACGCCAAATGGACTCCCACACAAACGTCGAACTTTGCATGTCAGTCAAAAGTATTAAATATGTCCTCAAATATGTAAACAAGGGAATCGACCAAGCCATATACAGCCTCCAGCAAGATACAAGTGCACCTACGCCAACTGATGAAATTGCCCAATACCAGCATGCAAGATACGTCGGCAGCACTGAGGCAGCATACCGCCTTCTCAAACTTCTAGTCTATGAACACTTCCCACCTGTATGCCATTTGGCTGTACACCTAGAAAATGGACAACGCGTCTACTTTTCAGACACTACCACCGCACAAGAATTAACCAACCGTCAGCCACCCAAAACTACTCTGACTGAATTTTTCACCTTATGTCAACAAGATACCTTTGCAAGAACACTCACATACCCGCAAATACCACAGTATTACACATGGAACAACAACAAGTGGGTGCGCCGTAAGAGAGGAACCCCAGTTCCAAACCACCCTAGCATTTTTAAAACGAGCTGCCTTGGTCGTGTATACACGATCTCACCAAGCCAAGGAGAATGCTACTTCCTCCGACTCCTACTGCATGAGAAGAAGGGGCCACAAAGTTTCCAACATCTCAAACAAGTTCAAGAGGTTATATGTTCAACATTCCGTCAGGCATGCCTTTTGCTTGGCTTAATTGCAGATGATAACCACCTCCACAAGGCTTTATCTGAAGCCAACGAGTCAAGCAGCCCAGCCCAACTGAGGAACCTCTTCGCCATTATCCTCACATCCTGTGAACCAGCAGACCCACCCAACCTGTGGGAACAGCACAAAGACAACATGTCTGAAGATTTATTCTTTCCATCCAGCCAACACAACCTCAACGACGACCAAATTGCTAATGTCTACAACTCCTGCCTGCTCCAGATACAACGCAAAGTCCTCCAAATAGGTGGCCAGCAACTACACAAATATGGACTCAATGTTAACCACAACAATGCTGATTACGACACAATTGAATACAACCGGTACACCCAGTACTCAACATCGGAACAACAAACCTTCTTAGCAGAAAATGAAGACAAACTCACCAAAGAACAGAGGCACATATTCGACCTTTTCTGTGCAAAAGTGCACAACTCCCAGCCAGGCATTGTCTTCCTTGATGCACCAGGTGGGACAGGCAAAAGCTTTTTGGTTAACCTAATCCTCGCACGTATTTGCTCAGAAAAGAAAATTGCCATTGCTACAGCATCAAGTGGAATTGCAGCGACGATTCTTACTGGAGGACGGACGCTTCATGCCACATTCAAAATTCCCCTGGATGTTCATATGCAAGACATGCCTACATGTGCCATCAAAAAAGGCTCAACTCTTGCAAAGGTCATTATTAACTGTTCCGCACTCATCGTTGACGAAGCGCCTATGACCCACAAAGCAGCATTCGAGGTCGTAGATCGCACTTTACAAGACATCCGAGGCAATACCCAGCCATTTGGAGGCATCCCCACATTACTTTGTGGTGATTTCCGCCAAATATTACCAGTTGTCAAGAACGGTACACAAGCCAACATCATTGAAGCATCAATCAAAAGATCTCACCTCTGGCAATATGTCCATATGGTACACTTTCACAAAAACCTGAGGGCACACCTAACAGGCGACTCAAACGCAACTGCCTATTCACATCTACTCATGTCCATAGGCGATGGAACGTATCCAGTGACTGAACCACCCAGCACAATCTTCCTTCCTGACAATCTGCAGACAACAAACGATCAGGAACAACTCATTCAAGCCATCTTTAAAGACTTGCCTACAAAGCACACCAACAACCAATGGCTATTACAACGCGCAATACTAGCGCCACTTAATGACACTGTCGCAACACTGAACCATCACATCCTCAACATGATGCCTGGAGAACAAATCACGTACAAATCCTTCGACTCGACTCTAACTGTCAAGGAAGCTGTCCATTTCCCTGTGGATTTCTTGAATTCCCTTAATATCGCAGGCTTACCACCACACAAACTTAACCTTAAACTTGGTTCCCCCATCATTGTCCTCAGATCTTTAGACCCACCCAACATTACCAATGGAACACGTTGTCGAGTCACAGCCTGCCATGCCAACGTCATAGAAGTCGTCATCCTACATGGACCAGCAACCGGCAAAACCGTATTCATACCACGCATACCACTCATCCCTTCAACATCAGATCTTCCATTTCAATTTAAAAGACTACAATTCCCTATCCGCCTTTGCTATGCTATGACAATCAACAAAGCCCAAGGACAGACTTTCACTACCATAGGCTTGGATCTCACAACACCTGTCTTCTCCCATGGCATGCTCTATGTTGCCCTCTCACGAGTAGGCAAACCCACGGCGATATTCATTCACACACAGGACAGTAAGACCAAAAACATCGTTTACAAAGAAGCCCTTCATTCTTAGGTCAGCTACAACGCTAATACACGCATTCATCAATTCCCACCGTCCGACGGATCAGTTTCAGTTACTCATGTCCCAGACAGTCAGGCAATTAGAAGAAACTAAAAAGGACGTTCGCGATAAAATCTCCGCCCCCGAAAACCATATCCAAACTGCTGACAAACAACTCATAGAAGCTATCACTAAAAACTAAATCTAAATATTCGACAATCACTCTGCAATGGTACTACCCTCAAAATCCATAGACTCCACAAACACGTACTTGATACAGAAATATTCACCGGCCCTCCCAGTCGACAAACAACATTAATACCTAGGATAATATTTGCTCCACCCGATGTCAATCTATAATTTACACTTCAACGCCGCCAGTTCCCTATTCGCTTGGCTTACTGCATGACCATCAATTAAGCGCAAGGTCAAACTTTCAAGAAGCTGGGGATTTCCCTCCCCAAAACCCGTCTTCTCTCATGGCCAACTTTGCGTTGGCTTCTCACGTGCTAAATCTTTCGCTGAGGTAAAGCTTCAACTGTAAACTACTCACAACCAAACTCAAGGCAAATCACACTGTTTACTACACTACCAACGTTGTATACCATAAAGTTCTGTAATTTAGTGTCCATCATCTGTAAATCCTATCAAATAAACTTTTCTATTGTATTTTACTTTTTCAAGGAGTTTCTTCTCAGCTAAACCATGCATCTCTACATTCACAGCATATGCCCGCACCCGTCAGCATCATTACCATACACTTTCACTACCATAAGCTTGGGCCTCACCACACCTGTCTTCTTCCATGGCATGATCTATTTTGCCCTCTCACAAGTAGGCAAACCCACGGCGATATTCATTATACACAGGACACGAACACCAAAAACATACTTTACAAACAAGCCCTTCATCCAATTAGGTGAGCTACAAGTTACAACACTAATACACTCATTCATGAATTCCCACCGTCCGAAGGACGGGTACTTTGCTAGTCGTTTATAAAGTGTAAGGTCTGTAGGCACATACGCGAATACGCATTACAAATTGCTACGCAGTATAACAGCTACGCAGACCAATAATGCTTATGCAGGCTAACCATACACAAGCACATACCGACCATAGCGACTAATGCAGTACATATTTACGAGCGTGGAGTTCTGCCAGATCGCAGGCAGGTCCTGGCGGTGTCCAATGGTGACCGTTAGCGTGGTGATCCCCAGCAGGTGAGATCAGCGGAACCGTGGTGCTGACAGCAATCGGGGAGCTGTCAGGCACCACTGGAAACCGTGTTTGTCTTCTTGTCGAAACTTTTCGTTATTTATACAACTGGAGAATGCATGGCCTGAGCGTGGTCAAGGCCTTGTTGCGCTGCGGATGGTGCAATCCTGTCCGTCTCCAGATTTTATGGGATAACTGAAGGTGAGAAGCTGTGGACGCTTCTTGAGTCTGGTGTGGGACCGTTGCAGGTCGATTCATGTCTCTTCATATTCCCATAGTCACATTTGTCCGCGGCGTCGTTGTTTTTCTTTATCAGTCGGCATGCGACACAGGTGTGATGTCTTCTATAGGTACTAAAATCTCATAGGTCGCCTTGTGCAGTGATTACTTTCTCTCTCTGCCGTCGCATATTTTCTTTCTTTTGTTGGGTTCACGCGCGCGACACGCCGTGCGGGTGTGCGGCTGGTGAGAGCAGGACCTGGTGTCCTTCGCTTGTTGCATGGCTGTTACTAAAATAACTATGACGTGATCTGCTTACGTTTAATGACCCGTGTCATTAGGTTTATACTAGGCTTAAATAATTTGATATCTACGTCACTACACTTACCCCTCGCCACTTTCAATAGTTGCCGAAACATAATTCTATGGAGAGCAACGTAAGAAACATATATAATAGATATATCTTGATACCGCTGCCGGCATTGAAAATTTACCGTTACACAAAAATGACTTCATCGTTATACTAAATACTAATCGAGAACAGTCGAACATACATGCTACGCTATAAGCGCAACTACGCGAATTTAAAAAGAAAACATTCCGTGCATCATATAAGCAGCAAGCATACAAAATATGATGAAGCGTTACTCGAGAAACGGTGAATAAAATCAGAATCCATATTTTAACTAGTAAATACTATTGTCATCAGAATTCAACGCTATCCAGTAGACTTACATAATGCTCTTCGTAATGCGCCAATTTTACTGAGGTCTCGGCATGGTAAGCGTTAAAAGATCCTGGGCACAATTATGGCCTAGGGCAATCTGCATCAGGGGATTCTCTTAGCGTAGAAAAGATAGCAAGGGATACAAAGATAAAAAGACCTATGTTCAGACTCCTTCTGTAAGTGTTCAGCTGTGTTTAATAACTCGTTTACAACGAGCTCTCATGGCTCATATATAGTGTTCAGCGAGCTCTCATGGCTCCATCAGTTTTACAAGCGAGCTCTCGATGGGCTCCATAGTGTAGCAAGCGCAGCTCTCGTGGCTCCAATAGTGTACAAGTGAGCTCTCATGGCTCCATAGTGTACAAGGGCAGAGCGTCATGGCTCCATTCATCAATATCATAATCATAAATCAGTATAACTATTATTCAGTGTCTGCACATAGCCCTCTTTACTCTAGAAACCTGTGTCTTATCTCCACTATCTCAATTAACTCATATCTAAGCGGTCTTAAAATTCACAAACGCACTTTGCCTTATACAGGTGTAGGGAACATACTTAGCGGGACGCACTGGTATTTAGAATGAAAGTACCTATAAAGTAATATTTGTCGCACAAACGAGCATTAACCCAAACTTACGCTTAAATAAAAGATAGAAAGCCGTTGAACTTAATATTACTCATGATGAATTGTTGCTGCCCGTCAGTGCCAGAACGGCTGTGTCGTTGCAGAGCCAAGCGAAGACTCTAGGAGTAAAATCACACGGTTAAGCACTACATATACTGCTTTGGCAATCTGCTGTTAGTCACGGCGCCAAAATAGAGAAGGCTCGTGAGCTCGTGTAATAGGCACGTGTGTACTCGTCATAGTGGCGTCCAGGGTTCGTGTACAACAGATACCGTGTGCAATAGAGCACTTAAGCCCACAAACAGTCATAATATAATGCATATAAACCACGTACTTACTTACGGTAACTCTATCCTTTAATAACAGCCGTCAACATACAGTAAACACTACACGATACGATATCTTAATCACCAAGGCACATACAGACAAGCGACTGCGTTACAATGGCAGTAATATTTACCGAGCGTTGGAGTTCTGCAGATCGCAGGGCAGGTCCTGCGCGTGATCCCAATGGTGACGGTAGCGTGGTGATCTCCCACAGGTAGAAGATCAGCGGAACGCTGTGTGCTGACAGCATCGGGAGGCTGTCCAGGCACCGTCGGAAGCGCGTGCTTTGTCTCTCTTGTCGAAACTGATTCAGTTATTGGTATACACAACTGAGAATGCATGGCCTGAGTCGTGTCAAGGCCGCTTCTTGCGTGGCGGATGTGCAATCCTGTCCTTTCTCGCAGCATTTTATGATAACTGAAGGTGAGAAGCTGTGGACGCTTCTTGAGTCTGGTGTGGAGACCGTGGCAGGTCGATTCATATGTTCATTCAATATTTCCATAGTTCACATTTGTCGCGGCGTCGTTGTTTTGTTCTTTATCAGTCGCGCATGCGACATCAGGTGTCGATGTCCTCCTCTATAGTAAACTAAAATCTCATAGTGTCGCCTTGTGTGAGGTCGAATTACTTTCTCCTCTGCAGCCGTCGCATATTTTCTTTGCTTTTTGTTGGCGTTCACCACGCGCGCGACACGCGTGACGCGACAGTGTGCGGCTGGTGATGAGCAGGACCTGGTTGTCTCGCTTGTTGGCCTTGGCTGCTTACTAAAAACTAACCCTATGACGTGAATCTGCTTACCGTTTAATGACCCTGTCAATTAGGTTTTTATACTAGTGTTAAATATTTTGATATCTACGCTCACTCACACAGCAGATTCAAACCAATGGGACAAGAATCTCTAATTCGAGCAGTGTGACAAACCGTGATGCAGCCATATGATTAGGCGCTGTATCTAGAAAACCTAAGAGTCTTTAGTTCTTAAATTCTTGTAAATGCGTGTTACACATAATTATGACAGTTGTGTACTATGTATGTAGTGGCCTCCGGCCGGCCTCGAACCCCGAGTCCTCGAGTCGCGGCAGGGCTCAGGAGTCCGAGTCCGAGGTCCGAGTCATTGCACTCCGAGGCCAAGACCGAGACGAGACCAAGAAAAAAACCGGTCTCGAGGCCTACAACACTTGGTGTGTGCTGGTTGTGTGCGTGTGTGTGTGTTGTGTGTGTGTGGTGTGGCTAGTGTGTATGTGTGTGTGTGTGTGTGTGTGTGTGTGTGGTGTGTGTGTGTGTGCTGTGTGTGTGGTAGTGTGCTGTGTGTGTGTGTGTGTGTGTATGTGTCGACAGGGTGTGTGTGTGTGTGTGTATGTGTGTGTAGCTGTGTGTGGTGTGCGTTGTGTGTGTGTGGGTGTACTGTCCGCTCGTGTGCGTGCGTGCGTGTCGTGCGCGGCGTGAGTGTGGCCGGCCGCGGTGTGTGCGGTCGGCGACCCGCACGGCTGTGTCTGCATGAGCTGTCTATTAGTTACTAACCATTTTCACCCATTCTTCTAGTATTTACAGTTCGTGTGCTTACCTAGCTCTGCCGCCCCTGAATAACATGCATATGTGATCAAGACCGTGAAGAAT